AAATCGACGGTCTTTAGAATCCTCAAAGAGCAACAATTGCATCCGTATCACATTCAGAAAGTCCAGGCGCTTTTGCCTAGAGATTTTCCGCCAAGGTTGAAATTTTCGAACTGAGTTCTATATCAGCACAGAAATGATGCAAATTTCGTGGGTTCAGTTCTCTTTACGGACGAAGCTGGATTTTCTAAAAACGGAATCATAAACTCCCATAATCTACATTTATGGGCAGACGATAATCCTCATGCTTCCATTGTGTCGCGTCATCAACATCAGTTTGAACCCATCAACGTTTGGGCAGGAATCATTGGACAACATTTAATTGGACCATTTGTATTGCCAAGGAGGTTAACTGGACCACTTTATTTGCACTTTCTTGAACACGACTTGCCAAGACTTTTAGAAGATCTACCTCTAGCAATACGACTTCATATGTGGTTTATGCATGATGGGGCCCCGCCCCATTTTAGTCTAGTTGTTCGACGATACCTGAATAGGAGGTTCGAAAATCGGTGGATAGGGAGAGAAGGACCAGTGGCTTGGCCTCCCCGATCACCTGACTTGAATCCCTTGGATTTTTTTTTGTGGGGATATTTGAAGACTTTAGTCTATGCCAATCCAATTGACACTAGGGAAATCTTATTGGAAAGGATTAATTTTCATTGTCGGGAAATAAGGGCTAATATTCAAGCATTATGGAGGGTCCAACAATCTTTTATTAAAAGAGCTATGGAATGCACAGAATTAGAAGGAGCTCATGTTGAGCCGACATAAAAAGTTATTTATTAAAAAAACATTAATAAACAAAAACAGATTTTTCTCGGAACCAGCTGATTTTTTCGATATCGAATAAGAGTACGTTTTTTTCTAGTTCAAGGTTCAAACTATCTAAAAATATTATTGATGTGCCTTTATCATACAAGGTGTAAAAAAAAGGAGCATTATTGTGTTAAAGCTAGTCCGTCCCTGGCAAACTAGATTGGTCAAGTGTGTTTGAAAGGATCCATTTTAAGAGGTCTTATCTAGTATCCATCATATTGAAAGAAAAAAAAATTACACGAAGTATTTTGAAAGTTATCAACAAAAAACCGATTTTAAGAGGCATCCTTCAGGAGCACGTAACTTCGTAGGGGGAGCCGTAGGAATTTTTTTTTATAGGAAGTTGTCATGTTATTTTTTTGTGTTCTATCTGAATCCGAGAGATTGCCCACATATTCTGGGACACCCTGTATAATAATTAGGTGCTTTTTAGATGCTAATTAGGGCTTCTAATTAAAAATTAGGTGCTCCTCTAGTTTTTGAGAAAATCAAAAAAAACTAAGGGATTGCTAAGTTTATGAAAGCTAGTAGACCCCTATAGTGAAAAATATTTTTCCAAAAAAACTTCGGGATCTATATAATAATTAGGTGCTTTTTAAGTGCTAATTAGGGCCTCTAATTAAAAATTAGGTGCTCCTTGAGAAAAAGTAAGGGACTGCTAGGTTTATGAATGCTAGCAGTCCACTAATAATTTTTAAAAAAATCTGTAACTCAATTAATAATCAACAATTCTATTTTTTCTTCTACTATTTAGGAGCACCTAAAAAGCATTTAATTCTGATACAAAAGAACATTTTGGAAAAATATTTTTCACTATACAGGTTGTTCCGAAATTAATGCACCAAATTGTTATGGCATATTCCACGTCGAAAATATACCCCAGTTACCTATATAAACATATGTCCGGAAACGCTTGCTTTCCGAGATACCGGATGTTGAAATTCTAAGAAAAAAAATATGTTTTTATCATAAGTTTCAAACCACTCTAGATATTTCATTGAAATTTTGTACACTGCTTTCAAGCAGCAAAAGACATTTTTTGATGTGGAAATATTTTTTTTTAAATTATCAGTGGCGTCCTACCAGATTTGTAAGAAATATTTTTTAAGTAAAAAATGGTGCGTCACTGCTTTTTCCTAAAATTTTTGAGATCCCCATTTAATTTGGAACGGATTTGATCTCTTCACTTTCTTCCGAAAGATGCACCATTTCAAAGTAAAAAAATAAAAAACCATTTTGATTCATGGCGAAATTATGATAAAAATGTTAAACATTAAACACCTAAAGTTTCGAATTAGTTTTGTGACGTCACTGGTATTTTTTTTTAAATATTTCACATCAGAAAATGTCTTTTGCTGCTTGAAAGCAGTGTACAAAATATCAAAGTGGTATGAATTATGATAAAAAAAATAGTTTTTTTTTTAGAATTTCAACACCCTGTATCTCGGAAAGGAAGCGTTTCCGGACATATGTTTATATAGGTAACTAAAGCCCTAGTTACCTATATAAACATTTTCGACGTAGAATATGCCATAAAAATTTGGTGCATTAATTTCGGAACACCCTGTAGAGGACTACTAGCTTTCATAAACCTAGCATTCCCTTAGTTTTATTTTGATTTTCTCAAAAACTAGAGGAGCACCTAATTTTTAATTAGAGGCCCTAATTAGCACCTAAAAAGCACCTAATTATTATATAGATCCCGAAGTTTTTTTTCCATTCTGACACACCAACATGTGAACCTAAAGCCAGCAGACCCTAATAATTAAAAAAAAATCTGTAACTCAGTTAATAATTAATCAATTCTATTTTTTCTTGGACTATTTAGGAGCACCTAATTCTCATATAAAGAAAAAATTTTAAAAAAATAGGATATCCACTAAGCGCTAAATTCAGCCCTTTTTTTTTAATATTAGTTTATCCATAGAAACCATCAGAACATTGAGAATATAGAATAAATACGTTAATTATGTGTAGCAAAAATGAGTGCGCAAAGAGGTTCTGTGCCGAACATGAGTGTGCAAAGTTACTACTTTGCGCATGCGAGTAGAAAAAATTTATTATCTTATTTAGCGGGGGTAGTGAAATTAAAAATCGAAACGAAAATTTCCTACAGAAGTGACGACATCAATGTGACGGATCGAATATATTGATCCGATTTGATCTGATTGATCCCCCTATGTCTCTGTCTAACTCCTATTTCCTTTCTTCCATCAAACATTTCTGTCTTTGTTTTATCTTGGTGTGCGTTCGAAATCACCCTGGCACATTAGGGTTGCGTTCGAGAACCTGGTTATTGGTGTGAAAATTATTAAATTATTTCAATGAGGGTCCGACAAACTTTGGTGTGCAAATCCTCTAGGTTTTCGAGCGGTGACCGAGTGGTGTGTGGTTTATTAATGTGCTTATTCAGTTACTAAAAATTAAAAATACATTTCTGGGGGGGCCCGGGCCCCCTGAGTCCCTCCCCGTAAATACGCCACTGCACGGCTCATCAAGCTTGCTTCTTATCTTCTTACCATCTATCGAAGGTTTGCCCTCCTCTCCAGAATCCACAGGACTGACTGACGTATCAGTGCGAGATTCCGAGTTTTCACCTCTACTCACCTGGGGTATGCATGTTCTAAATTTCGACACATCATATATATGAAAGGAGCTGGCAATAAAACACCACGTTTGCCGAGAGTGTTGGTGAGTTCGGGAATTACATTTCCTTAATTCCTAGTGGAACGGTTATTCCGCCGTTTCTCGGTCGTCAGAGCTGCGCTAGTTTACTGACAGTGGGCATCACGTGCAGGAGAGGTTGGCATTTGGGCTGGTCTTTTTAGTTGTTAATCGCCTTCACCCCTTACCATTGAAATATCATTGTTTATCGGAAATTGTTTCATCGCCCATCAGATGTTGTCACAGATATAATTGATGGTTCTACAAGTTTTCTCCACGATCTTGTCAAGCTTCCAAGTGTTTTGTTCTTCCTCTATTACATGGTTTACAGTATTGCTCCAGTTCTCTGCAGTTACGTGATTCAACGACGCTCTTAACAGTTCTCGAACATCTTGTAATTTGAAGGTGCTGTTATTTCTTGTTATAAATCCATTCACCTGAGCCCATATTGGTTCAATCAGATTTAATTCGTGATGGTAGGGTGGCAAGTGAAGTATAATTATGCCTTGTTCTATAGTTTAGGATCGATTTATGGCCTTTATGGTCTTCGGCCCTTCTGTATCTGTATCTGTGAGTTTGGTATACCACAGTACTTAGGCCACAGTAGACCACAAGAGGAGAGGTGATCCTTAGCTCGTCATCCAGACTAGCGATTTAACGTAGGCAATGACGTCGCCGAGGGCGGTGCCTCTGATCTCTTCTAGGTATGTTGATTATTTATCAAGTTTATGTCTTCTTCAACAGATCTTTGTCAATCATAATCGACTTTCAGCTCTACTTCTCGCAACAAAAGTTTGACTCGGATTAATTCCTAATTTGCACAAAGCCAATAGTATATTCTATTATTTATTACTTCTAATATTTCATTTATTGTTTGATCTGAATTACCATCAGGGAATAACCCAGCCTATAGTTACCTGGGCCTATGGTTTATGATCGCTTTATGGTCTTCGACCCTTTTTTGCCTTTCCCTGTGCTCCTAAAGGAAAGGAAACAGAGTACCCTTGGAGAGTCGTTTCTAAGGGTAACAGACAAAATGGAAGGGTGAGCGTCGGGAGTATCTGTCTGGCTGGTATTCCTAGTGGGTGGTGTTTCGTCACCCTCCAAACATGGATGCCAAATCCTGGACAGTACTATATTCCACCTCAGCTCCATTTTGCCTATTAGGCTTTTGGCTATCGATGACAGTGCCACCACTTAGACCACCCTAACTTCACTAATCTTTGTTGGCCGTCCACAATATATTCTATAACACGCTACCAATTGTTTAGAATGAATTTAAGTTTCTATTCTCCTGTCTGTTTCTTCTACCCTCTCTTTGGTTGTTTGTGATGGTATAGTTGCTTTTATGAACTATTAATTAAATAGTTTCATTGTATGCTTCCCAATACCCATGACTTTGTAAACTAATCGTTGGTCCAGATATAATGTGACCTCAAATGTATGAAATATTGTCCAAGAAAGCTGTAACTTGCTATTACCTCCCCTAGTAGAAATATTAACCTGTAAAATTAATTCAGGTACCAATACTTCTGCGACACTTATGCTCTCAAACTCTGACGACCCTCTGCTTTCAAGTCAACCCAAAGATTTCGTACCCAAAAAACGAATCCAGCTCAATGGTGTGCCTGTAAGATTGCTCAGCAATCAAGGCCTCATTGAATTGAACAACGGAAGTTTCACAGGCTTATTGGTCGATGCCAATGGCGAACTCAAATTAATCCAAGCAACCAACGGAAGCTTTCCTACGAAAAATTTCGTCTTATCCAACGCTCAACTAGTCACAACAAGTAGCCAGGAAATTGGTACCAAAGATGGTAGAGTGAAAGTTCAAAAGCTAACACTAACAAAGGCTGTACCTCAAACTGCAACGAAGCTAATTGCCACAAATCGAACTAAATTGGTCAATGAAACAAGGAAAGAAGATTGCAACGATGTTTTTCTCAGTCCGACAACGTAAGAATCATCATTTTGTTGGTAGTTTTTTTTTTTTTAAGTAAATTTCCAGGATACCAAACAGTCCGGTGCGGCAGGCAAGGAAAAGATTACGCACCGAGCCACTTCAACTACCGATAATTCACCAGTCCAAACTACGAACCACCAGAAGTAAACCGCAAGGATCGACACGGTATACGCCACAACCAATTTTGAATCCGCAAAGACCTGGCACAGGGTTGTATGCTAATATTAAATACAAACCTGGTAAAAAAAATATTATTACAAAAAAGCTACTTTTATTGATTGGTATAAGTATTTTTAGGTGAAGACAGTCCAAATTGGAGCGATCCTATTCCGGAAACCGATTCGACGCCTCACATCAATATAGGGCCTCAAAATCAGTGCGCTATTCCCACATACAGATCAGTGCCAAAGCGGACTAGTCCGCAACCGGTTTACGAGGATTTGCTTTGGGATCCTGGTATAAGCAATTGTACGGATTCAGAAAGTAAGTATAAGAATTTGAAAAGTGTTATTATTTTCTTCAATTTGATCTATTAATAGGGGCAATGATTGACAAAATCTTGATAATTTTTCAAGTAAACGTTTTAAATATGTTTAAGGATGAAATATTTGTTTATGACTAATTAAATCGTATTTAAGAGTATGTACCTTTGTACTAAGCTGTCATACGTGATCATTGGCCTTATCACTGCTGTGTAAAACCAGTGGACTAAGTTTGGTTGTAAGCCCCAGGTGCGTCCGATAGATCTTCTACAGGCCTAAAGGCTAGCTGTGACTTTCTGGATGACCCTGTTAACGTGATCTTTCCAGGTTAGCCTGGAGTTAATGACGACTCCTAGATATTTGACCATACCGGATGGAACAAGTCTCGATCCAAAAAGTGTGAGCCCTGCCAGGTCCATGATTCTTCGCTTTGTTAATGATACTACCTCGATCTTGTTCGAATTTACCGAAAGCCCGTGATTTTTACGCCATCTTTCTACCATATTGAGAGCTCTTTGCATGATTCCTTTAATGGTGCTGGGTACCCTATCAGCTACAACAATGACAAGATCGTCTTCGTAGCCTTGAGTGTACATACCTTCCTCGTTCAGAGTGCGGAGCAGCCCATCCAGTGCCAGGCGCCACAGCGAAGACGACAGTAATACACTCCCCTGCTTGCAGCCTCTAGCTACGGTTGAGCTGATCTTCGCACTACCAATCGAGCTTGTAATGATTCTGCTTTCCAGCATGACACAGATCCATTTGACAATGGTGTTCTCTATGCCAAAGCTTTCTGCAGCATTTTTTATAGAGTCGAATGAGCTGTTAATAAATGCCCCTTCAATGTCTAGAAATACACCCAAAGCCATTTCTTTATGAGACATCTCTTGCTCCAGCCTTGCTACAAGAGTATGGCGAGCCGTCTCAGTTGACATGGCAGTCCTGTAGGCATGTTGATTAGGGTGCATGGGCATTGTTGTCAAGGCCGCTTTCCTGATGAATGTGTCCACCAGTTTCTCCAGCGTTTTTAGAAGAAAATGAGGATAGACTAATGGGTTTGTAATCCTTAACCGATTCGTAGTTACAACGTCCTTGGTTAGGGATAAATACCACTTGGACCTTACGCCAAGAATATGGTACTTGACCATATGCGAGTCAGGCCCTGAAGAGGCATTGACATTGACAGGTGACAAGTGACGTCATTTCCTCCGGAGGACGGAGGGCGTAGAACTTCAAACTTACCCTCCTGGTCCTGTTAAAGCGACTGCGGGTTTCCTTATGAGCCTTGTTGAGGTCAGAGTTCCACCAAGGGGTTTTCTTCTTTTCTCGATAGGTTCGAAGCTCACAACTCCGTTCATACACATCGGTGATTACGTTGCGTATGAATTCGGCTGTCTCTTCCTTCTAGTTTTGTCCTTAGGATCTCAATTTATTGGTCTCAGTTCGGGTTTTGGGGGTTCCTGAACTTACTAGGCCCAGCCATGTGATCAAGGTCCAAGCTGAATAGGATGTGTCTGTGATCCGATGGGGACGGTTCGTCAGACCCTGTCCATTTGCTTATTATCGGTGCCATGAAGAGTGAGTCCAATGTCAAGTCTATCAACTCTTATCTACGCGAAGTGACAAAGGTCGGTACGCTGCCACGGTTCAGGATTCCTAAATCCGTGGTGTGATGGTACTCCAGAAGACTGAGCCCTCTCCGGTTCGTGTTGGTGCTACCCCACGCCTTATGGTGTGCGTTGGCATCGCATCCGATAATCAACGGAAAGCCCAGTGAGTTACAGTACTCCACCAAGTCGATAACCTCCGGTGTTGGGGGATCATTTGTTGAGTCATAGGGCAGATAGGCCGAGCGAACTATTATCGATCTACTCTGTCCTAGTCTGTCTTTGAGGCATAGCTTTGCTGCCTCTAAAGCAGAAATTAGCAATTAGATTGGACTCGATTCGTCTGTCGACATAGATGCAAGTCCTTGGGTTCAGTTGGATGTTTCTTTTGGGAAAGAGATATTTCCACTCTGACTAATCCTCTTACGTATGCCCAAGGTTCTTGTAGGAGGTATATACCTATGTGTCTGCCCCATAGCAATGTATTACGTTCTATTAAGGAGGTCGCCCCCTTTGTTATGTTGCAAGTTGCAAGTTACTTTGAAGTAATAAGATCTCTTTATCCATGGTATGACTGGACCTATTTCTAGGCCGTAAATGGTGCAGCTCGGTCACCTCTTTTTCCAGATCTTCAAAGCCATCGACTGGCTCATCTGAAGCTGAATTGGGCGGTGACGTTCCTTCCGAGGATGGAGTATTGCTACTACCCTCCTCGGCTGGAACCGTCACTTTTACGGGCGCAGCTGGAGCCTTTGCCATCATCACGAAAGTGACAAGCGAGATCCTTGCGTACGCTTTGTAGTTTTGACGTCGTAAGCTTCGTCTACTCCAAAAACCATGAGAGCCCTGTTCGGCTCTTCTTTACGGTGGTACTTCCTCCATAGATTCGTCTTGAGTCCAGGATTCTGTCTACAGAGGCGTTTGAGGATAATGTTGGTGTCGACTGGAAGTCCATGAACTACCGCAACCATCTTGAAAACCCTGGGAATATATCGCATCACATAAAGCGATGCCCTTTCTCAGGGCCTTATCGCGAAGATGACTCCCTCTACACTCTCTACCCAGCGAAACTTTTCGAATTGAGGGAAGCGATCTCTCCTCATCTGATCTCGAATGAATAGATGAATGAATAAAAATTGAATCTTTACACTGAATTTAACTAAACCGGGATGAATATATATAGCATATAGCAAACAAACTCCTAAGCCTTCAAGTTGGAGACCAATTTTGGCTTCAAGAGGGAACCAGCTACGAGGAAAATTTTGAAACGTCAGCTTGTACCTACAGTGAATGTGTATCAGAAGTCCTGAATTGAATCGCTACGCACTCCAATCGCATCAAGCATTACAGTAAAACATCCACGTATATTTCTTAATGCAATTACTTATATCGGACAACAGCAATAAGGTTCAGTAAATCGCCAAACGATCTGTCCAGGAGATTCAGTCACAGCAACAAGCAAGGGTACAAAGGGCTGGACCTTAAGTCAAACCGCAATCGGTAGGGAAATGGACATAAAGCATTCAGAGGCGCTTTTGAACTTTTTAAAAAAATACGATCGATGCAAGTGTTTCTCTCTTCTTTTTCATTCCAATATTCTCTTTTTTATAGAGTTATCAGATTTTATATCAGAAGAAGTTGAAGACTTAGATTACTATTATATGATACACATTTCAAAATTTATCATAATTTTTATGTGAATGGCGACATATTATTTTTTTTTTTTTTCGCCATATCTTACATGAATATTTTATAATTTCAGTTGGTATGTATTTGGAGTTCGCCTGTTGTGCAGCCATTCCAGGTGGTGGTAGAAACAAGGAATATGCCATGCATCTATTGCATATGTGCGGAGGAAATATTCATGTAAGTATCAACCAAAAAGTTGTTCTACTTTATAAAATCTACGTGTCATGCGAAGTTTCTGCCGGAAAGCTTATGTAAGAGTTGGGAGGGAGAAAGTAGTAGCGAAACTTTTTCGATTTACTTCTAAAGCGATTATTCAAAACTTTTCACTTCGCTTCGCAATCTTAACGAATATTACAATAAACACTTTGTGCAAGATGGAACTTTCTTGGCTTTATTAGTATGAAATGTATTTTTTCTTAGGACGCTATGCTGCGATTGATGCAGCCTTCGCCGTATTTGCCTGCCGATCATCCCCTATTGGCGTATTCCTATAGCGAAAGTGACAAATGGACGTCCGCCGAAACTGAATTATTCCATCGGTGTCTTTTGAAGTTTGACAAAGATTTCACTAGAATATCAGAAGAGGTATTATTATTACAATTATACTTAATGTAGGATCTTATTGAATTCGACTTAAGCCGAGTCCAGATAAATTGAGCTTATACCATTTTCTCAATCATCTTGCATGTAGAACATATTCTAATTCTGTCTGGACCCGGCTTAACACAAAAAATACATCGCGTAAAAAAATTCAGTGGAAATAGATCAGAATTCACCAGATAATTTTATCTTACCAAAATTAATTCAAGGTGTCATCCAATCGCAAGCGTAATTTTGTTTAAAAATTTTGGTTTTGAACTCCCCTATCCCAACATAATTTATTGGTATATGATTGGCAATTTATAACTTCAATTACCGAATATTTGTTTCTTCTTATTACAGATAAAATCAAAAACGGTAAAACAGTGTATCCAATTCTACTACGTGTGGAAAAAAGTATGTTCGGACGAGTATAGTAGATTAAAGGCTTTGAGGCAGCTGAAAAGAAGCCACAAAAATATTTCGGATGGAGATGACAAGCCGTATCCTGACGTTAAATTGCTTGGCGTAAGTAAACCGTTGCATAATAGTTTTTTGACAATATACATATTGCAAAACCTAATTTTGTCCATGATTCAATAAATCAAATCGTTTTTATTCTCCAGATTGCTGATAGCGAATCGCCTATGAGGAATTTCCTCTGCGAATATCCGGATTGTTCAGCTGTAAGTCGTAACTTAAAATACGATTTATTTCTTTTTTGTTTTTCGTCTTTAAAATTCGGCTTTTGATTACAGTTTCTGGCAAGTCATAGTCGGAAGAAAGAGCTCTTTTGACAGTAAACCATTTAAAAACGATTAAAATCCTTATTGAAGTTCGTTCGGAAATAAATTAAATTTCAACATTTTCAATCAAACGTTACACTGTACCGAGTTCGAGTCTTTGGAAACTTTGTTGAGAGAATCTAGTTTTGAGTGAGTTCGGTTAATGTACGTTTTTCACGGAGGAATAAGCGACGTCATCACTAAAAAGTTGCCGTCCGCTCGAATATTTCGTACTTTTAAGTTAGTCCCTATGCATACAATATTTAGTGCTACTAGAACTTAATGAACTTCAAAGTTTAATTTTTCTTTTATCAAAATTCTCGAAGACTAAAATGTGGATAGTAAGAGCATCTAAACTCATTATTAGTCCTTTTTTGGAACTAATTGAAAGATCAAAGTAGGTACTGATTATTCCACACAAAGGCCCAAGACTTGGATTTGCAGTACTTTTTATGCAATCAGAATTATTGGATCCAAGGAATAAGATGATCGGAGACTATAGAACATGCGCATTTTCATCACACACTTATTACATTAGATTGTTTGAAACCATAACACATTTACTATCTGCTAGCTTCAATCTTATCTGAAACCTACATACCTATTCAAAGGAATCACCATTCTACTCCTCATCCAGCACTGACGATTCCTATGCGAAAAACTACCTTTTCTTCATAGAATAATGGAAGGAATATCTGATTGTGTCGCCTATTCAACTATCTCTCTGTCAAGCGAACAAAAACTTAAAATTTCCTTGATTATCAGGGTCAACAGATATCGTAAAAATGCGAGGTCATATGTATCAAAGGATGCCGAACTCGTATTTGCCATAAATAATGTTTTTTTCTAATGAATCTGTCACTTGGCACACTCAATTTAATTACTTCAGCCTTGCTTTTAATATTTTTCCGTTCAGGTTCAGGAACCTCGCGATTTTATAAGACTGGCAATTCTATTTGTTATTCCAATTTTGAACTTAGAGCTCAAAATATACTCTGATACAATTCTAAATAGCCGCAATCTTGTCAAGTGCACCGAACGTCTTATTCTATGGAATCTAGCTTATTTTCGGATCGACTTCAACCTACATAATAACATTTTGAATACAATAGTATACCAAGGTACTCAAAATTACAAATGACTAATTTTATTATTATTATTTCAGAGTTTTAATTCTCGTGCGGCACTAAACGGCCACATCCGTATCCACGGCGGTACCGCACGGAATTCGCCGACGCCCTCCGTCGTATCGGAGCGTCGGAACGCCACGTCCACTTCGGGGTCGTACTCGGTCTCGTCGACGATCTGTCATCCCGACTCGACCGATCAAGAGTACCCTTGTAAGATTTGCGGGAAGTAAGTTGTAACCGTCATAAAGCTCTAAAACAAAATCAGGTAAATGCTCGGTGTGTTGTTGCGTCCTCTGCTTACGTGCTAATACTATACGTTTCTTTTCACCATTTTTTTGTTTTTAAATTGAAAACACAACATCCAGTGAGCGGACGAAAGGTACCTTCTAGTTTTCTTTTTACTTATTTTTTTTATTTTGGATGGATAAGTGAGTTGGCATTGGTTGAGCGAAATCAGCTGGGCCAATCCAAATTGACGAAAGTCGAACTAATAATGCAAGATCCAGTAATCCATAAATATAAAATTTTATATATGTAGATGTCACAAAAAAAAAAACATGGACCTGTAAGAGGCAGCCGACACGAACGAAATAAAGTACTTAAATCCCAGAATAAAAGAGACAGTAGAAGGATGTTGTGAAAGATTCACAAAGACAACTACACAAACCACGTAGAAAGGTGGAAAACTGTATAAAGAAAATGCAAAAATTACCAACGCATTGAATCAGTTGACATAATCCCCGAGGCTACAAACAAAAGGTTTGTAAAAATTTGTCAAAAATATTATAATTTAAAAAAATAAACTCATAAAAAAATTATTCATCCAATGCTGACTCGCTCTCTCCGCCTTCATTATTTTCCATTCTCCAAAAAACTACAATAAAAGGGGATAATACCTACTTCAAGCGCCTTTATTAGTTCAAATCTATCCACCGATACTTCTAGGCCTTATTATAAAACGAACTTGCATGCCAGTGTTCTTTATTATTATTTTCCACGCCCACTATATATCTATGCAACTGGAGTTTTTTTAAACGGGCAGATATATTTGATAAACGCACGTCAGCATGTCACAACAAAATACTGAAAAATTTTGCCAGAGAGAAAGCAAATAAGAAATGTTGTCACCTTATCTTTTTTTTTCAAGTGACAATTTTGAAAAATTAAAACGTGTAATCATTATCAAATAAATAAAACTCCAATACTAACACGCCACCTAGCTGCTTCTCTTCTCTTTCAGACTAGATTAGGTATATTTTTTTCTTCAATTTTCTACCTCAACTAGTATTTTGGTACCTTTACTATGTTAGCACATTTCCAGTAGGTACCTTTTTCATGTAATTTTTATTTGTCCAAGACATAGTGTGAGGTGTCATAATTGAAAGATGGTAAACTTTCAGCAAGGATGACCCAGTTTCGAAAATTTGTCAGACTAGCATTGTTTTTTGGACTAAGTATCATGGAAATTTTCCAGGAGATTTTCATTTCAAAAAAATTACCAATATGGCTCCGAAGCCGACTTGGATATTATTATTATACACTGGCCAGCAAAATTAAGGCACCACTAACTTATTTCTATATTAACGAGGTTGGAATTGAAACTATGCTAGTAAACAGTTTCGATCTCAACCTAATTGAGGATGTCTGGGACATGCTCTATCGCCGTTTTCAAGAACTTCCTAACCGTCCTAACACTTTGAATGGGCTTTGGAAATATTGTCCAAATATGGAATGATTTGAATTAAAACGAGATAAGGCCTATATTGTTAGTGCGAGCGGGCACGAAGAAAGAAGTGAGAGAGCCACCGACTAAATTCCCCGGGCGAGAAATAAGGTTTTCGAAAAACCCAGCTCATCATAAGGGAAACCTGCATCAATCCTCAAATTGGAGGTTGGTGTCCTGCTGTGCTATTATTCAAAATAGAGGAAGAAATACCGGTTATTATTTTTAACTAAAGTTGTAACAAAATTCCCTAATCCCCACGCCACTAATCGGCTGGTCCCCTGTATGATGTAAACCTGATATACGGTCTGGCAACTACGAGATGTCAACGCTCATAGTGCAATAACACAAATTTCATTTCGTTTTCTTCGTTAATACAAGAACAATATACAGTAATCAGTTTTCTCTATCGGTTGTCGTTTAATTCTTCCCATGAACTCAACTTCCTTAATAATTGTCCTACAAATTGGCGCCCAACGTGGGGCCACGGTGAGTTTCAAGACTGGTAGAGTGATTATTGTATGCCGATCGCGGTTTTCGTTTAGTTGTTCGACGAAACCTATGGTGATTTTCATTTCAAAAAGATTACCAATATGGCTCCGAAGCCGACTTGGATATTATCACTATACACTGCCCAGCAAAATTAACGCACCACTAAACTTATTTCTATTTTAATGAGGTTGGAATTGAAACTATGGTAAACAGTTCTGATCTTACCCCAATTGAGGATGTCTGGGACATGCTCTATCGCCGTTTTCAAGAACTTCCTAACCGTCCTAACACTTTGAATGGGCTTTGGAGATATTGTCCAAATATTATGGAATAAATTGAAAGGAGATAAGGCCCATCAGTAAGTTCTCTATGGACAGTTATCGAGACATCTTGTCTGTCTCTGTTCTCTGCGGCAGCTCTCCCCTCATTTTGCTCGACAGAGGTGTGGTGACTGCACTTGGAGTGCGTATTAGTGTTACCGCCGCCAACTGGATATGACGCCCGAGTGAGGGAGACTTTGTTTTAGCACTGGTAAAGGCCTTTTTGTACTGCGGTAGCGTACCACCAGGGACTTTGTTTAAAGTCCCACTGAAAATCAAGGTAACTTTGAGCGGATACTTTCTAGTAATCTGATTAGATAGCCTCATCCCGTGCGGGCTCTTGCTACCTGAGCTGTACGCAGTTAGTTGGATTGCTAGCTCGGGGTTTCCCAAAGGAAATAAAAGGATCAGTTTTTCTTACTAAACTCTAACAATGGTTTATTGAACAAATGGTAAATCTTGGTAAGGAAATGGAAAAAAAGCAGAGAATATACAGTAGGTTATTAACAATGTTTACTGAAATCAAATGAAAGAAAATACAGACGGAGATTTGGAATGATAGGGAGTGAAATCGATGAGCGTCCTGTATAGGGCGTTCCTTGATGGTACAAGTTACATGAGAAATTAAAGATTAAAAGATACAGAAAATAAAGGCTAGGTTATAATTCTTAGTGGGTAAAAGTCACAGGCATCCTCGACAAGGGAATGACAAAACGGCCTTGTTATTCAGGGTAAGATACATGTTGAAAAAAGATTTAAGTTGTGAAGCTAACCCAATGGTTTACTTCTTTACACAGCGGAGAAAATTAATAATAGACAGAAAACAATAATCATGATAGATAAATTAAAATACTTGAAATTGAATCATTACCTAAGGTCTCGGAAAGAGAGTCAGCAGAAAGACGTCAACACTAAACACCAGAACTTCGTAACAGAACTAAATAAATTTAGTAGATTCGCCAGCTTATTTATATTGGCAGCTTGATGACGCTTTTAGGATTCTTATCGGTCGGAAAACATGCGGTTTTTTCCATGGAACCATGAGTCGAATGATGACACTATTTCGGGATCCGATTGATAACCTTCGACTCTTGACATGGTTTCGTCAGAAATTAGCGATTTAATCTCGCGGGGAAAAGAAGCCGATTAATTTTATTACGAAGTAAAATAAAAAGGATTTTTTGCCGTTTTCTTACATTAGGATGACAATAATGTGCGTGGGTCCCCTAGCTATCGGGATCGCTTTAGGCGGCCAGCTAACGAGCCCCCTGCTGACGAGCCCCCTAAGTATTGTTGGTGCGAGCTGCCTATACGGGCACGAAGAAAGAAGTGAGAGTGCCACAAATTAAAAAAAAAATCCTCCGGGCGCAAAAAAAGGTTTTCGAAAAACCCAGTTCGTCGTAAGGGAAACCTGCATCAATCCTCAAATTGGAGGTTGGTGTCCTAGGGGAGTACTTTGCATACAAAAATACCCGACAAACGCTGCCGTGCTATTATTCAAAATAGAGAAGGAAATGCCGGTTCCTAATTATTTTTAACTAAAGTTGTAACAAAATAGGGTAGTGGACAAGGTATAAATTCAATGAAATCGATGATCTATTGTGCATCTATGGAGTAAATGAAAAATATTCCTATTGAAAGAAATTTCAGAAAAAATTGCTAACTTTGTTTAAAATGATTGTAAAAGTAGAGTTTTGGGACGGACTATTTGAACGAAAATATTTCGCGCCTTAATTTTACGTCATAGCTGTTGTATTTGAGTATGAAATGAATCAAACCTTCGTCCTATATTCGACACACACTTACTCATTAGTGCAAAAAAGAGAGATATATCAGCGTCTGTGTGTCATTACATCCAGGCGCACCCTCAACTTAACCCCACTTTTTGAGAGATTTCCATTTGTCAATCAATGCGCACTGAGCTTATCTGCATCTTTTTCTAGAAGCATGTAAAATATAAGGACGCACTGACCGCGCTCTCGCCCACTCTTATTAATGTCGGAATGCCTTAAGACATAACAGCTATGACGTAATTTCCGGGCGGTAAATTATTGCGTTTAAAATAAGTACAAATTTGTTTATTTTTTTTTAGGTATATTTTTGTTTTCTAAAATCAAAGAATCATCAACTACTATTTATTTTGTTATGAAGATTATTAAAAAAAATATTTCAAAAAATTGTCCACTACCCTATTCCCTATTCCCCATGCCACTGATCGGCTGGTCCCCTGTATAATGTCAACCTGATATACAGTCTGTCAACTACGAGATGTCAACGCTCATAGTCACAGATTATTCGTTTTCTTTGTTAATGCAAGACCAATATACAGTATTCAGTTTTCTCTATCGGTTCTCGTTTAATTCTTTTCATGAACTCAACTTCCCTAATAATTGTCCTACAAATTGGCGCCCAACGTGGGGCCACGGTGAGTTTTAAGACTGGTAGAGTGATTATTATGTGCCGATCGCGATTTTAGTGTAGTTGTTCGGAAACCCATGGTGTTTTTCGCGCTCGTCTGGTACGGGAGTCAGCCGAGAAACAGCCGAATTGTGAACAACTGTGACGCGTTAGGTACTGCGTGAGTTAGTACCGGTTTTCTGTACTTTTTGTGTGAATTATCACCGAAACTTTGTCGAAATCGTTACGAATACGAGTTGTGTAATTCCGTTCTTCGAACTTGTAGAATTGAAACAATGAGCTTTCATGAAAATTATCGGTAATTTTCAAGCACTCGTGGTATTACCCCCGAGAATATACTTAATTAAGACATAAAAATATTTAATCTCAAATTTTCAAAATAATAATAGTGGTGCGTTAATTTTGCTGGCCAGTGTATTTTCTGAATTTGTTTAGAACCAATATAATCGTAACAGAATGAATGATTGAATGAATGAATGAATGAATTGGGTTGAACCTCGCAAAGTCTGTTTCATTTTTTCCATGGTGGAACAAGGGCTGCTTATTGTGCGACTAACTTTTTCCAACAAAATTTCTCCCTGGAACATCCCCCTAAACGTCGTTTTTTTGTGCGCTTCCGGTACGTTTTACAAAAAAATACCTCTATAGTAAATTAAAGAGGAATAAATTCTTTACAAGGTATCCAGGGACAGCATACGTCTATCGCCCACCCTCTGGCCGAGGTGGCGCTCTAACGTTGAATGACCTTGAAAAAACATGTTTTGCAATAATTATTATTTTTTACTAAGCAGTAAAGCAAATCCACCACAAACCATGCAGCACATCCATATTAATAATTGACCGATTTAATGGTATATATGTTTTATTTAAAAACAGTTACCCATTTAGAATATACAGTCTATCCCATCCTTCTTGCCTGCGTTAGGAATGAAAGTGACTTACCCTTCTCCATATTTTAAGTATAGATGAATAGGATAAATGAAGACAGATATATCAAATTCTGTGTAGATATTTTGTCAGTTTAAAACAATTACGTCCTTTGCCGAAACTGCGTCATCCTTACTAGTTTACGATTCTTAGCCAGCACTGTCTCGAATAATGTTAACCTGAAAATTTCTTTGCCACTCTAGAGTATTTTCGAAAATCAAAAGCCGCAGTGCTCATATGAAATCGCACAGGCCGCCGGACGCTGAACCAGTGAAACGTCGAAATAATAATAGTGAACATAAGGAACACCATCTTCACAAAGAACCTAAGGAAATCAAGGATCTTTCTTCAACCTACGAACCTTCCGTGCCAAGCCCTTTTATTAGTTTGTAGTACTTTAAATTAATTAATAATATCTAGATTAAATTTAATGGTTTATGTACTTACATCGATAACTGAGTTTCACCCTTTAATTCTCAACATTTATTTAAAGGATCGATGAAAGTATGTAACGAAATCAAAACATGGTCACGGGCAATCAAAATAAAAAGCAACAAAAATGAGTCAGATCAAAAACAAAAAAAGCTAAAAATACTGCACGATTTTATAAGAAAAAATAAAGACATATTAATTGTAGCAAAAAAATTTTTTTAGGGTATTTAAAAGGAAAAATGGTAACAAAATATAGATAGTATAGAAATTGTATAAAAAAAAAACTCAATCCATAGAATACAGAGATTTATATTTAATATTTTATTGGGGTTGTGTTACGTTACGTGAAACGTGACGTTAGTGCCTTTCCGACTGTCGAGTGAGACACAACATTATAAGAAAAACCTTAGAGCACACACAAGTAAACTATCATTAAACTTTTGGGAATTATTATAAACTTTAAGAGTGTTCGCTATTAGTTGAATTGGAAAGTGGATTGAAAATTGTTTTAAATGGGTATCATATACTCTTGAAGAATGAAAATCACTAGGGATTGAAAGTGGCAATGTCTTTAGGTGAATGTAGATAAATATATTATGGATATAGACTTTCTTAGTAGGTAATTTCCACTTCCTGTTTCAAATGGTGGTATCGAAAAAGCAACCGTAGTTATTTCCAATAAACTGTATATCGTCTATAAACGCCTTATAAGCAAACAAATTTTTAATCCACTTTACAAGTTTCAAATATAGCCTAAATAAGAAAAATATGAGCAATAAGATCTGAACTCAAGTTGTATAAATTTAAATATCATAACAAATCAAATGGCCATAAATATTATTTACGAACTTATACGTATTTAAAACTCAACGAACAAAATCACTTGCCCTGAGGTTGTTTTCTATACAAGCTTTCGATAAAAAGCCAAATCAATTAATTAGATGTTTACGAGTAATGGAAGCATGCCAATCACTCTCTGCACAATTTTGATTTTATCGATAAACAAATTAATTTGGGTGTAAAAATGTATTTAAAATTAGTCGCTGTCTGATATTTCCAATGGAGACGAAGTTTTCCTGAAGGTATTTCACCCCTTATTCCATTATTTGCTGGATTATCTGCTCTAGGAACACTAAGTGGTGGTGCTGCTGGTATAGCAAAATCAGTAAATGACGCTAAAGCTGCCAATGAAAAGTTGTAAGAACAAAAATGACCTAATCAAAAAATGGAAACTTTAAGCGTTGGGTGAAAAGGAAAGAGGAAAACTCTAAACCTGCAAATTTACCGGCAAAACTAAGACTCCATCTAGTTTTTAAATACATTCAGTTTGCAAATATTAGAAATAGATATAGAATAAGTTGGCTAAAAAGGTGTAACGAAATACAAGTTGCTCCGTATTCTATAAAATTATTCATCCGGAAATCTTTTTTCAATCAGGCAGTGCTATAACATTTTCAATATACCTAAAACCCTTAATCACACACCTTGTATTATTACTAATATAATCTAACATTGATTTGGCATTTTATCTAAACAAATCGTATTTATCTAACTTAGGTTGTTCGAGGAATTGCTCAAAAATAAAGCCAGTGTGTTTCTACAAAAAAAAAAGAATAAATTCCTTTTTTAGATTTTTACTCTAGATATTAAATATTTAGAAAAAAAAAACTATTCTTAAGTAAAACTTGAATAAGATTTATGTATTTTAATAAGAAAACGGTACTAACTATTCTATTATCTTTAGATCTTAGTAGCTGATTTATAATGTGACTCAAAAATTTAATATTGTATATACGACTAGGGAACGAATGTATGGTATATAATAGAAAATTTGAGGCAAGTGATTGGTTCGTAAATTTTTTACTCAAAAAAAAAAACCGGTGCCACCCCTTCCCAAAAGGCTTGGTACCAAAAAACTTTAACTCTGTGTTGTGATCTTTTTAAAGTCTATTACTATGAATCTATATCTATATATTATTAATACTTAATTAAAAAATATTTGTATATGTTATTAATGTATGTATGATATTAGAGTATTTATTATTAAATAGAGGCCTATGTTATCGACAAGTAAGGGAACCACCAAAAAAAATTTCCAAAATGACAATCTGCATTAAAAATAGCTGTATTATCGGTGTTTGAATTTATCGTAAGGTCCTTTTAAGCTTATAAAGGTGGCTTGATGTATAGACATCGTAATGCTGAATGTTTCTACCAAAATATATGAACCTTTATTATCCCGACACCTCACTTTTAAGGAATTTTACAAATATCTATTTTATGTTCAATCAGAATGTTATTCCTATTGAAATGAGCCTCCTTATGTGTTTTCCCTCCTACATGATGTCTATTATGGATTCTGATACTGATATAATCAGTGGCGGCTCGTCAGGGGCGGCTAAGCCTCACCCAAAAAATTGAAAATTCAATCTCAGTTTTTTATTCCTGATTCCTAATTAAAATAGCAATTCGCAAATTACACTTTCCAAATTTCGATATTTCAAATGTAATTTAGAAAAATCTGAGAACATTATTTCAATCAATCCCGCGCCTTCACGACAAAATTTTGTGAATCTGGGATGTTCAGTAATACGAGCCCGAAGGGCCGGAATTATACGCGAGCCTAAAAGGCTGGAGTAATACGAGCCCGAAGGGCCGGAGTTATACGCGAGCCCGAAGGACTAGAGTTATGTTAATCACGGGGCCCAGTCTATAATTCTATTAGTCAGCGGATAATTTGGAGCCAATCAAAAATCGGGAATATTCAAAAGGTGATTTTTAGTCGACATTTCGAGTTTCAGTTCTCTCCGATGTACCGGAAAAAAGTTAGCCTCCCCATCTTTCTTGATTTTGAATTTTTTTTCCGAATTTCCAAAAAAAAATAAAAAAATACCATCGGATAGAGGAGCTAAAAAAACGTTGAAAAGCCTATGGGACCCTGCTTGCTATGACGCGTTTTAGGGCCGGAAAAAAATTTAAAAAGGATATTTCGATTTTGGCCAGATAAAAATTTCGGCGATCTGACACGACGTTACTTTTTCGCTTATAGCTCCGCTATTTCCTGACCGATCGTTTCGAGTCATATCTCTTTTGAAAGAGGATGAAATTACCTACAAAATGTTATTTTATTGAGATTCCAGGCCGTTTTCGCCTTTGAGATATCAGCTGTCAAAGTTGAAATTCTTTGTAATTTTGTTAAAATTTTCCAGGTCGATTTTCTCGAAAACGGTGTCCCGTGGCGGGATACTTCTTAGGGACTTTTTTGTAGTACTCGACGAGATCTATAAGTTTTGTATTTGAAGTTTTTCTCCCGAGTTTTTCGTTTTCGAGTTAGGACGCTTCGAAAAAATTGAAATTTTGAGTTTCAAAAAAAAAAAAAATTATATCGGATAGAGGAGCAAAAAATACGACGAAAAGATAATTTGACCCTCCTCGCTACGGCGCATCTTAAGGCCGGAAAAAAATAAAAAAGGAAATTTCGATTTCTATCAGAAAAAAATTGTGGGTACCGACACTTTTTCGCTTATAACTCCGCTATTTCTTAACTGATCGTTTCGAGTCATATCTCTTTTGAAAGAGGATGAAATAAATTATCGAATGTAGTACCACAAGAGGTTTCAGGATTACCGAATAATACTTTTACCTGGCACGAAACGCGTTACGCAGCAATACCACGACTCCGAAGGAGGAGTGGTGTTGCTGGTATCGCGTTGAGTGTCAGATAAAAGTATTAGGTAATCCTGAAACATCGAGTGGTATTCAAAAGGTTATACAACGAACTAAACTTTAATACTTTACAATTTGAAAAAAATTCTATAATAGAATTTGCCATAAATGTCACCAAGCGCGATAATCCCAAAAGGCTTATCACTTATTAAGCCTCTCGTGTCATATAGAAATAATGTACGGTGAGTTGTATAACCTATAAAATATTTTTTTATTGAGATTCCAGGCCGTTTTCATCTTTGAGATATCAGCTGTTAAAGTAAATTTTTTGTAATTTTGTTAACATTTTCGAGGTCGATTTTCACGAAAACGGTGCCCCGTGGATGGATACTTCTTATAGGCTTTTTTGTAGTATTTGACAAGATCTACAAGTTTTGTATTTAAAATTTTTCTCCTGAGCTTTTTGTTTTCCAGTTAGGTCGCTTTGAAAATTAAAAAAAAAAGATTGGAAGGCTTATTGCCCATAGATTTTTTTTTCGAAAAAATTCAAATTTTCAATTTCGAAAAAAAAAATAACATTGGAAAGAGAAGCAAAAAATACGACGAAAAGTTAATTCGACTCTCCTCGCTACGGCGCATCTTAAGGCTACAATTTGATGGAGTGACCTTAGGAGGGGGTCATTTAAAATGGATGAAAACGGTTTTTGTCTATCTGATTCTAACACATATTTCTTCCCATAAGTACGTTACCGTCACGATGATCATAAAAGTTCCAGGACGTCTCCAAAATAACTAAGGTTCATTTCGCGAAGGTTTCTACTTATAACATCGATGATGTCATTACTTGGAAAAAAATGTTTGATTCTTGCTGGATTATCTGCTCTAGGAGCTCTAACTGGTGGTGCTGCTGGTATAGCAAAAGCAGTAAATGATGCTCAAGTTACTAATGAAAAGTTACAAGAGCAAATTGAGATTTACAGGGATTATCCAAGCAGACACAAACTTCACGAAACAAGGTATCGGAAGCAAAAATACATTTGACTATTCAAAGAGCAACAGAGACATTTTGAGGAGGCTCATTTTAATGAAAACATTAAAAATATTACTATACACATTTACATATTTGTAAAACTACCATGTCCGCAATGTTGTAATGCGACAACTAATAGGTCTACAACAAGTGGCCTCTAAGTTGTCCCGTCGTTTAAATGTGTTGCTTGTATTGACCCTTCACTTAAGGATTAACGTAGGCCGCCAGACTGAGCCAAACGATATAGTAGTCATATAGGTTATCA